CTCCCGTATATGAGTGTGCGACCATGTATGTGAGCGATCATTGTATTTGGTCACCCTGTGTGCATGTTTTTTTTTTTTGGGGGGGGTTTTGATCTATTCAGTTCGGGTTTGAATTTGTCTATAAGTTTTTTTTCCTGTATTTGTAGATACGAGTAATTGTCTGTTTGATATATCGGCATGATATTAAACTTACCCTGGTTACATTTGAAAATGTGTTGTGATACAAAAAGTTTTCTGTTGTCTGTCAATTTTATATTGCTTTTGTGTAGGGAGACCCTGTTGTTCAGTTGTTGGCTGATGCCTATATATGACTTCTTACATTTTGTGCATTTAAGTGCATAAACTACATTTTTTGAGTTGCAGTTTTTTTTGTTTATTGTGAATGTTTTTTTGGGTTTTCAAAAGTGTAGGAGTTTCTTTCTATAATGATGTCACAAACTCCACATCTTTTTTTGTTGCATTTTGTGACTCCCTGTATTTTGTGTTGACTAAATTTAGATGAGGTTAATATGTGTTTTAGGTTTCTAGATTGGCGTTTGCTCTTAATTATTTTGGTTGTTTTAGTATATTATTCAGTTTATTATTCTTGCTAAGTAAATCTAGATTTTTTTGTGATTTCTGGGAATATTTCTGGGTTGTTTTTTGTTGTACGTTGAGACATATGCTAGAGTTTGTTCGACGTTACGTTTCTTTTATTTCTAAGTTGGTCTAGAGGAATTTCTTTCGCGAGTTCAATACCTTTGTTTATTAGTGTTGTGGGGTAGCCTCGTTTCTTGAGAGTTTTATGTAGTTCTTCTAAGCGGATTTTTCGGAGATGTTTATCAGTCACTATTGTACAAATTCTACATATATATATATATATATATATATATATGTGTGTGTGTGTGTGTGTGTGTGTGTGTGTGTGTGTGTGTATCAAACCTACCCACATTTCTCACCCACACAAGACAGACATGCTTACGGAGGTGTGGAGGCCTCACTTATACACACCCCCACACGAATATACACACTTACACACATCATACTCACTCACTCCCTAATGAGCCAAATGATAACACACACTTACAGCAATACACACGATTACACATATCATACTCACTCACTCTCTAAGAACCAAATAAACACACACAAACACTAAACAGAGACACATCCCCTCACCAGGTCCAATAAAACTGTCAAACAGACCAGAGAATTCAGAATAATATGTATCTATCCAGAAATAACAACTTAAAAGAGACTGTTTGACCAACACAAGGAATGTTAAAAGATTCATGTTAAAAAGATAAGAAAAAACAAAAAAAACAAATGAAAACTACAGACAAAAGTTCATTTTCTCCATCAAGACATTCATTTCTGTAGTTCACTGCTACCAGCAAGCAGAAATATTTCTTCTCCTGATGATGACCATGATGGTCGAAACTAGTCGAGGAATCTAAATGGAATAATAATAAAAAAACGAAAGAATATTAATCTACAACCCAGTGTGTCTAAAGATTTAAATTTTTATTTTCTTATTTTCAAAATATATATATATATATATATATATATATATATATATATATATATATATATATAGAGAGAGAGAGAGAGAGAGAGAGAGAGAGATGAACAGAATGAGCTAGCAAGATATATAAATATGGCCAGAATGATATATATATATATATATATATATATATATATATATATATATATATATATATATATATATATATATATATATATATATATATATATATATAGTAATAATAATCTTATAAGTATAAGAAACTATATACGTTGGGAAACCTTCGGTGTCCTGATTTGCAAATAATCAAACCAATACCAAAAAAAAATGTATAGAAAAGAAAAAGCCAAGAACATGTACGTTAGCCGAAAATAATCGTCTCGCATGCAAGTCCAAAGCCCCCCAACCACAAAAAAAAACCGATACGTGTAATCAAAATAACAAAATAAAGTGCTCAATACAGTAAGTAGAGCAGGCCTAGTTAAGCCTAGAGAGCCAGACAAATCTACCAAGCTTTCACCTAAGCGGGTCGTTAGGGAAGACTGGCTTAGGTGAAACCTTGGTAGGTTTGTCTGGCTCTCTAGGTTTAACTATATATATATATATTTATATATTTTAAGCTTTTGACCCCAGCAAAACGAGAAGCCACTAGGACGCAAGGTGTTACAGAAGATTTGGAGCAAGATCAGATAGGAGGGATAGAGGAAAGGATGAGGAGAAGGATAGTGGGTAGATCAAGGTAACTGGAGATGTTGACTGACATTACATTTGAATAGATGGAGATTATAGCTCCCAGGGAAACTGGAATAGAGAAGGGAGTTCCACAGGCGAGAGGTGAGAGACATGAAGCTATTGGAGTAGAAGAGACGGCTACATTTAGGAGTTTCAACAGTGAAGGGGTGAGAGCGGGATGCCAGCCTCTCCGGGCGCTTGAATTCATGAAGTCTGGGAACCAGCGAATGCAGCTCCTCGGCGCAATTACCATGAAAGTATTTGTTATAAAGACAGAGAGAGGCGACGGTGCATCTCTCGGAGAGCGACTGTAGACGAGATGGCAGAACAGAGCCAATTATATTGCATATCCATATATATATATATATATATATATATATATATATATATATATAGAGAGAGAGAGAGAGAGATGAACTGAATGAGATGATAGATAGATAGATAGATAGATAGATAGATAGATAGATAGATAGATGTGAAGACTGAGAGTGATAGATATGAATATTGAATTCAACGCAAATATTTTTCATCTCAACAAGTCAGACCTCGTTTTCTAACGGAATCACACACATAGATAGATAGATAGATAGATAGATAGATAGATAGATAGAAACTGAAAAGACCAAGATAGATAGATAGATAGATAGATAGATAGATAGATAGACAGATAGATAGATACTGAAAAGACCAAGACAGATAGATAGATAGATAGATAGATAGATAGATAGATAGATAGATACTGAAAAGACCAAGATAGATAGATAGATAGATAGATAGATAGATAGATAGATAGATAGATAGATAGATGTGAAGACTGGGAGTGATAGATATGAATATTGAATTCAACGCAAATATTTTCATCTCAACAAGTCAGACCTCGTTTTCTCACGGAATCACACACATAGATAGATAGATAGATAGATAGATAGATAGATAGATAGATGATAGATAGATACTGAAAAGACCAAGATAGATAGATAGATAGACAGACAGACAGACAGACAGACATTGTCGCTTCTTTTTAATCAAACTTGAATAACTTGCTGCCTAAATACACATTATATGTAACTTATATTAACGTTCTTTTAACATTCAATGATTTTAGAAAAGAGTTTTTTTTTTCTTCTTTGTCAAGCCTCCGGATACGTCTCGATAAAAGTTACGGATTATAAAAGCTCACTGAAATCAGTTTGCAAAAATCAAGAGCTTAAAGCTCTGTATTTTATCTTCGTCGACTATTGTCTGGTTAATCACGGCCTCAGTTTACGTTTCAGGGGAAATTAATATGTTTGTGTTTGGAAAGAAATTACTTTGCAGAAACTCAAGACAGACTTTGTTATGTAAATAGTTTTAATTTAAAGTTTCCAGTCGCCAGTTAAATCTCGAAATATAGTAAAACGGAGTCTAGTTTACTTAATGTTTTAAATCGTAGAATTATTTTTTTATTTTCAAACAAGGAACCAAAACAAAAAATTGGAACTTATCGTATTTCAACTTTGGTTGCAAAAATGGCTCTTCTTAATTTTTTCTGGAATTCGTTCGCTTGTTTCTGGTAAAAGATTAAAAAAAAAAAATTTCAACCCCAACCAATGCGATAATGCCACTAGTACACAAAGGGGTTATTGATGGTTTGTTTTGGCTCGTTTAACGGCATATCGACTCCTTATGAGTCATTAAATGCTTGAATTTTATTTTGTGATCATTGGTATGTTTTTTCGAAAAATATATTGCTGGTAATTTTTTCTAATGTATTTTTTAATTTTTCCAAGTTTTGACCCCACCCACACACACACACCTGATGGCGTTGTCGGTGTCGGAGATGGCTGCGAGGCCTTTCTTATGAATTTGATTTTCGTTGATACCTCTCCGCAACGGAGAAGCCCCACTCATTTGGTCAGAAGCGTCTCCCTCGGCGTTCAAAAAGGGATTAACAGAGACAAAATCTGGCAAACGTGGTTGCATCGGACTGTCGGATGCTTGGTCTCTGAATGTCCGCCTCAGTTACGCTGCCTTCTTCCGTGTAGATCTTTCGTGTAGATCTTTGCCTATTTCACCGTAGGAATGTCCGAAGGGGTTGGTCACATTCAGTCTGGACCTTCCTCTTCGACCGTACCGCCATGGGTGGCCTTAGAGGAGTTGGAACCCCAGACGTCTTCACTTTTGGGATTACTGGGGCAAATACGCCCTCTATCATAACAAGGAAAGACCATAGATATTTTACACAATTTTTTTATTTATTAATTTACTAAAGAATTAACAAAGAAATAGAAGTATAAAATTATTATTAAATATATGAAAACATTTTTATTATTGTTGTTGTTGAATATAAATATTTCTGTAGCCTTAGGTGGCAACCAGTTTATATATAATATATATATATGAATATATATATATATATATATATATATATATATATTCTATAAATAGAATAAAATGACACTTGGACGTTGTTTAATGGTAAACACCATCACCTGTCCCTATTCTATTTCCCCACCCACGCTGGTGATGGTGGCGGAGATGGTTGTGAAACAAAGAAAATTTTACAAGGCCATTCGCATGCTTGAAGGGGTTGGTCGCGTTCAGTCTAGGCCATTCTCTTCGACCTTACCGCCATGGGTAGCCCTAGAGGAGTTTGAACTCCAGACAGATCAGCTCTTGGGAGCACTGATAGATGTAAACCCTCTACCATGACAAGGAACGGCCATATTTATTTTACACTGGATGTCGCAGTGAACAGTTCGTTATCAAATTTATCACATTGACTTATTATTAATTTAGTGACGATAATAGAATCTTGACGTAATGGTTAGAAAGTTTGTCTCGAATGAGTTAATTACGAGATCAATTATGACTAGTAATTTTGATCCACACTGGGTGCCCCATACTTTCGGCCCATACCACAGCTAGGCGGAGATTTAAAAATCACTATTGGACTGTTGGATGAAAATAAGATCCCCTCTCTCTCTCTCTCTTTTCTGTGTGTGTGTGTGTGTGTGTGTGTGTGTGTGTGTCTTCGGCGTTCAAAATGGGATTGACAGAGGCAACGTCTGGGAAAGATCGTTGCATCGGACTGTTTCCGGGAGTTTGGTCCTTCCTCTTCGACGTTACCGCCATGGAATCACTGAGACAAGTAAGCCCTCCACCATAACATGGAGGGAGCATCATACATATTTTACACTAGACGCCGGAGTGAACAAATCCTTATCAAATGTACCAACTTGTCTTATTACTTTAATTACTTATTATTATTATTATTATTATTATTATTATTATTATTTTCTTTGATTTATGGCGTTTACACATTTCTTTCCCGGTCCCGCCCAGGGACCTATGGTTAGAAATGGCGTCATGACACTTTCCACTGACAAAAAAAAAAAAAAAATTACATAGATAAAGCCCTTCGTAAGGTGTGGGCTGTACTTGTCAGAACAATTTTTTGTATTTCTTTGAGGCATGGACTTCCAGGAATCCCTTCAATTAGTCTACTGCAATCTTTTCCAACCAGTCCTAGGGCTCCAACTACAACAGAGATTGTTGATGTTCCCATATGCCACATTTTCGAGATTTCTATTTCAAGGTCCTTGTACTTTGACAACTTTTTGAATATCTTCAAAGATACATTGCAGTCAGCAGGGACTGCCATATCAATAAGGAGGGACCGTTTTTGTTTGTGGTCTTTAATAACAATATCTGGTCGGTTGGCCTTGATTGTTCTGTCAGTGTGTATTGTGTAATCCCATAGAATTGTAACAGGTTTTATCTCCGTAACCGGGTCTGAATGGTGTTCATACCAGTTTATTATTATTATTATTACAGCTTGGAATATTTCTAATTTTCCAGAGTTCTTAAAGACAAGAATTCATTAGGACGCTGGACGTTTGAAGTAGTCTAACGGGGCGTCATGTGCCAGGGCTACTGGGAAGGAGATCACGCAAAACTTCTTGAATATTGCTCGTTTTGCTAGACTATGAATCATGACACTTTGTGCCCTTCACATGTTTTGACTGACTTTTCAATCACCTGATGATCCTTTATGAACGTTCTCAACTTTACAAGCCTTGATAAACCAATGACAATCCTCGCTACTGTATATAAATACATGCAGTGTGATAAACCCAACATTGCCTTGATAAAGTCCCTCAGAGGACAAAACGCGTCGGCTAAGAATAGCTTTTCCCCTCGTCTCTTGTCATTCATTTTGTTCATTGACAGATACACTTTATCTGAAAATAATTCACACACATGCACGCACACACATACACACATATATATATATGTATATATATATATATATATGAAAGTGAACATTCAGAGGCGACAGGCTGTTTCATATTAGACGCAATTGTCAGGCCGCCTGATGATTGCGTCTAGCATGAAACATCCTGTCGCCTCTGAGATTTGACTTCGATGTTCACTTTTATATTTATATTTACATACGCTCTATCTCTGATATTGTGCACTTTATCCCATAATATAGCACACCTTAAAATTATATTCCTTTATATATATATATATATATATATATATATATATATATATATATTATTTATAAAAAAATTATAACATACGTATGTTATAAAATCACTACAAAAATAGCCATCGGTGTCTTATCAAGTGATGATGTTGAAGATAAAATAATTGGTTTTAAAAGTTTCAAATTAATTAACGATCCTACACTAGGGGGAAACATTGTTACAAAAGCTAGAATAACCAATCAAAAACCAAGTATAGAAAGATTCAAAAGCTTGACAACGAAATCATGTTATAATAGCTATTCAGATCTTTAAAATACGGGTTATATTAAAAATAATTTATACTAACCAATAATTGTAAAATTATATGATAAAATTTAATATTAAAATTAAAAACTGGCAATTTTAAAATCCAAATTTAATCACTATTAAGTTTAAAAACTACAAAATTATTGAGAAAAGAAAAAATGTATGTTTATTCAATTTATTTCTTCTTTTAAGAATAGTAATTGTTGGTTATTGGAATTCATTCCGTATATACCAATTATATACTTTGATATATATATATATATATATATATATATATATATATATATATATATATATATATAAGGTATATTTAGGTAGCAAGTATTCATCGAAAAGGTCTGTTTCATATTTTTTTTTTAATACTTTTCAAACTTTCGGATAATTTGTCGAATGTTATGTTCAAAGTTGTGTGGTTAAACTGTTCAAAGTTCAATATTTTGTTATGTTCAAGTATTTTTGACTTTGGCAATGATTATTAAAAACAGATGTGGTGTTTTGTGTGGTAGTTTTAAATCCTTTGTCTCCATCTAAGGTCGCTGTACGTTTAAAATAGTCTAATGTGACGCCATATGTAAACTCTCATTAGGAAAGGAGTCCATACAAAATGAATGCGATTTATTTCATCATTTTATCGAATTTATTTGTTAATTTTTAATACTGATATAATATGTTCGCACATCAATGATATTATATGCACTTCAAGATAACATCTAATGAATAGCAGGATGCAGACAAGGGAGTTCAAACTACTACACAGGCACAACATCTGTTCTTGATAATGACTGAGAAAGTCCAAAGTACTTGAAGAAAAATAACAAAATATGAACTTTGGGCATATTATCCATTACTTCAAAATTAATACTCAACATCTTATCCAATTTTTGAAAAATACACACACACACACACACATGTATATATATACATTCATCTCAGTAAGTGAGGCATCTTTTCTAAATAGATATGAACAGAATGAGATAGATAGATAGATAGATAGATAGATAGATAGATAGATAGATAGATAGACAGAGAGAGAGAGTGATATGAACAGAATGAGATAGATAGATAGAGAGATAGATAGATAGGGAGAGATAGAGTGATATGAACAGACTGAGATAGATAGATAGATAGATAGATAGATAGATAGATAGATACGAACAGACTGACATAGATAGATAAATAGATAGATAGATAGATAGATAGATAGATAGATAGATAGATAGATAGATAATGAACAGATTGAGATAGATAGATAGATAGATAGATAGATAGATAGATAGATAGATAGGAATAGAGAGAAAGTGATATGAATGTGGGTGTGGGTGTGTGAATGTGTTTCTGTGTGTGTGTATATTTGTTAATTTTAATACTGATAAAATAGGTGCGTACATCAATTATATCATCAAGATACCATCAAGATACCATCTCTGGTAAATGGTATTTTATTTAATGTGGACTGATTCTTTTGTATAATAATAGATTCTAGATTTCTGTGTCATTGTTTTCAACTTGGATTCTTACTGCGCGTCCCCAATAGCAATTTACACATGGCGTCGTTAGACGATTTCAGACTTCGAGCGTCCTAGATGGAAAGGATTTAAAACTACCCCCACAGAGACACAACATCGGTTCTTGATAATGACTGCCAAAGTCGAAAATACTTTAACAGAAATATATCAAACTTTTGAACTTCGGACAATTTCTGTCTATATTTCGGACAATTCATCCACAACTTCGAACATAACACTCCATATCTTATCCGAAAGCCGAAAAAAAAACATATATATATATATATATATATATATATATATATATATATATATATATATGATTTTATCATATAGACAAAATCATTTTACTCACTACAAAGATGGTTAACCATTTTCGATTCTCACCCGTCGAAGTGCAGTTGAATTGCACTGAAACGAAGTTGCATCTTTGTAGTGAGTAAAATCGTTTTGTCTATATGATAAAATTATAATAAATAAATAATTATCACTCTACTATCGGTATCGAGCCCTCTTTTGGATTAATGCTGTGAACGTTGGAATTTATATATTACTTTCGTTCTCATCGCATCGGATATATATATATATATATATATATATATATATATATATATATATATATATATATATCACTTTATTCTGCATTCCAAATCATCACTTGATAAGACACCAGAAGGGTTGAAACCAAATGGCTATTTTTGTAGGGATTTTATAACATATTTGTTATAATTTTTGAATAAATTATAGATAGATAGATAGATAGATAGATAGATAGATAGATAGAATGGCTCCCTTTTTCGTGTACAAGGTTTTAGCTTGTGCGAATATGACTAATCATTTCTCCTGAAGAACATTTCGTGCAATCAACGACGTCAGCAAATAGTGAATGCTGGCGGCGTGAAACCGGTTTTCGAATTGAAATTACTCGACATGTAGGTGTTCAATCTGTATCAAGAAAGAAACGGCGCGTAAGTAATGTCTGCCCCGCGCGAATTTACAAGTCGGGCGGGGAGTTACGGAAGCCTGTCCGTGTGTTAAACTCCTTGTGCGACTGAATGCGCGCGCGTGGACGACAGCGGAGAGGCTCGAGGTGCGTGCAGTATTGCATTAACAGTTGCGCCCTTGATAGATGTGCGAAGAAGTTGGACGGTAGCGGGCAGACCTACTTTCTACTCCTGCACGTCTCAGCCTCTCGCTGTGCGCCTGCAAATATACACTTATTTCATGCAATGTTTGTTTGTACCTGCGTTTGAAGACATGCCTTTGGGTATTTGTAGGGGCTTGTATGTATAGGCTTGTGCTGAGTATTGGTGTGTATGTACAGGGGCGTGGCAGGTAGGGACGGATTAACAGGGGACACAGGACGTAAAGTGTATTGCATTGGCGTGTGTGTAAATTAGCATCGATACTGTGAGGCCAGTGAAAGCACAAAAACAAGGAAAGGTGTTTCTCGCTGGAGAAAAGTTTTTACGTAAAAGTAGTCCAAGGAATTTTGGTTCGTGGCGCGAAGGATTTGCATTAAACCCGCGAAAATGGAAACTGATGTAAACATGAGGGAGTACTCTCTCTCTCGCTCTCTATCTCAGTCTCTCTCTCTCTCGCTCTGTCTCTCGCTCTCTCTCACTCTTTCCCCCCCCGCTTTCTCCGACTCTCTCTCTCGCTCTCTCACTCTCTTTCTCTCCCTCTCACTCCCTCTCGTTCTCTCTCACTTTCTCACCCTAACAATCTCTCTCGCGCTCTCTCTCTCTCTCTCGCTATCTCTCTCACTCTCTCTCCCGCTTTCTCACTTTCTTTCTCTCTCTCTCTCTCTCTCTCTATATATATATATATATATATATATATATATATATATATATATACACACACACACACACACACACACACATATATATATATATATATATATATATATATATATATATATATATATATATATGTACCAGGTGTAACAACAAAATTGTCCAAATCGTATAACAGCAAAATTTTCCAATATGTATATTAAGATCTGAGCCGTTATATCTTTGAAATTATTAAAGGAATCTTACTAGAACTCTTTGAGATTGCTATATCACTATTGTACTCTACTTGAAGCAATACGAATGTGTAATTACTCTCGAAGCTTAACAGATGACTCGTGATGAAATTGGTCATAAACGAAAATGACATGTTCATCATTAATTAATCATAGCTAAGAAGTATTGAAACTTCAAGTTTATATATATATATATATATATATATATATATATATATATATATATATATATATATATACATTGTCCAGGATATTTTTCCAACGTATTCAAGATTATCTTCGCCATCTCTAATTTTCTAACTTTCTTTCCTGGAGTAACAGGTGTCTCACAGGTTTCACGTACGATTTCATTTTCAAGGCTTTTTTCATTGTTCTTTGGGCTGTCATAGCTGAAACTCTTCTCTTGCGTGTCAAACGTCATGTAAATTGAGTTGGATATTTTTTATTTAATCTCTTTAGCTCTAAGTTGAACTGATGATCCCTCTTCCTGTTGTGACCTCCTGATCCAGTTTTCCTCTCTACTGTTACCACTTTTTCCTCTCACCATTGCTCAGTTGGGAAAACAGTAAATCTGACACAAAATAATTTTAAACTGATCTCTTTTTATTTGAAAAAATCAAACGCCTTATCTGAAATCCTAACAAAAAAAGGAAACTCAGTTTTGTAGTTATTAAACATTTTTGATATATATATATATATATATATATATATATATATATATATATATATATATATATATATATCCATTCAGTTTATACGTTTTTTTTATATATACAAATATTTAAGTAAATGCTCTGTTTATAAAAAAAAAACAGTATTAACAACATTTACCGGCCTGAATGTCCGGAAAATTTCATAGAAAGTATATGTCCTCCGACAGAAATTGATCCTGTATACTCCCCGGAGCAGTCATATAGCCTGACGTTCTATACCATTTAGCTACAGAGGAAGACACTGGTCTTTAATGTCAAATAACTGTTTTTAAACAGTAATTTCCCATGACGTATATTTGCATATAAGTTAGGGATGCAGTGGAAAGGGAATTAATATTATGTAATGTGTATTTTTGTTTCTGGCTGGTAAAAATGGATTTTAAATTTTTACCACAGTTGTTATATTGATATGTAATTTTTAACATTGCAAAATTGAAGAAAAAGAAAGCTGAAAATTTGGACATGGTAATGTGTGCTCACCAAAGGAGACATAATTTTACTTGATTTAAAGAAATGATTCCTTCATCCAATGTTTTTCCAGTTCTCATGTTTTATTTTTAAATCGAGACTTTTTTTGTGTCGATTCCGTTTTTACACTGCAAAATTTATTTAAAAATCCCATATTTTGTCGTAACAGTAATGAGATATTTTTTGATAATTTTGATATTTTTTTTTTTTATATTTTTGATATTGTTTTGATATTTTTCGATATTTTTTATATCTTTTGATAGTTTTGATATTTTCTTGATATTTTTTGATATTTTTTATATTTTCGTAAATTTTCTTGATATTTTAATATTTTTTGATATTTTATTGATATTTTTTGATGTTTTTATATTTTTAATATATTTTGATATTTTTTTAATATTTTCTCGATATTTTTTGACATTTTTTAAAATATTTTTTTTCAATGTCTAATAAGTTTAATGTCACACTTTTCTCTACGGTATTCTTATTCAGAATAATAAATACAGGCTTTTTTTACATTTTATTACATTTACTTTTATTTATTACGATTACATTTCTTTAACAATGTTATCTCAGTTTTCTTAATTTCTGGGACGTTGAAATTTTTCTGCGTAATCCTCTGAACTTGTTTTTGTCAAAAATTCATTTCTTATACGATAAATTGCTCTTAATTTTTACAAAAATGTATTTCTTGTATTAAAACCTATTTTGACATTTTCCTGGTGTTTTGACCCTGTTTGGGGGTTAATTATTTACCCATAGCTGGGACACTAACAGGTGCTACCACCCCGGGTCAGGCTGGACCTGGGAACACCAGCAATTCACGCTCCTCAAAACCTCCTGATCAGTGGCCTTGCCGCTGGACGTAGCTTACCGTCTTGCCCAGGACGCAGACGTATTTTATCGTCTTGCCCAGGACGCAGACGTAGTTTATCGTCTTACCCAGGACGCAGACGTAGTTTATCGTCTTACCCAGGACGCAGACGTAGTTTATCGTTTTTCCAGGATGCATTCGTTATTTATCGTCGTACCCGGGACGCAGACAGATTTTATCGTCTTACCCAGGACGCAGACGGAGTTTATCGTGTTACCCAGGACGCGGATGTAGTTCAGAATATTTAGGATAGATAACATTTGGTCATAGTCTTGGAGACTAATCTTTACATTTGTAGTGATAGGGAAAACAACTTCACGTTAGTCTGTTCTGCATATTAGCCATTTGAGTATATGAGTAAACAAAAAGAAATTATAGTAACATTAGTTTAATACAGTTAATAGTAAATACTACTACAGCTAATAATAATATAAAATATAATAATAATATAAAATATGCCACTTTTATGGTAAAGAAACTGCAAGAAACCTGTATAAACATCACCCAGACCCCGTTAGAGACATAGGACCTTTAAGAATTTTATGAAATTTCGCAATACACAGAGGCAACAATGAAAGTTAATCGCTCAGACATCGTGATAAAAGATCACAAAAAACATAATGTGTCTTCTTATTGATATGGCAGTCCTTGTAGATTTTAATGTTTCTTTGAAAATTTTCAGAATGCTAAGAAAATACATGGATCTTGAAATGGAAATGTCGAAAATGTAGAACAGGATGATGTCAATAATTCCAGTTCTAGTTGGAAAGCTTTGTTTGATTGGAAAAAGTTCCGATAGAATCATTGAAGGGATTCCTGGTAACCCATGCCTTAAAGACAAAAAAATATTACTCACACATTGCGAAAACCTTTATCGATGTAAAATGTGTGTGATCTTTTTTAAAGAAATGATCAGTGGAAAGCCATTTCTTATTTTATGTTTCTGGTGGGGTCCCGGAAGGAAATGTGTAGATAACAGAAATGCAAGGATATAATAATAATAATAATAATAATAATAATAATAATAATAATACGGAGATAGGACCTGTTACAATTCTATGGGACTACACAACACACACTGACAGAACAATCAAAGCCAACCGCCCAGATATTGTTATTAAAGACCACAAACAAAAACGGTGCCTCCTTATTGATATGGCAGTCCTTGCTGACTGCAATCTATCTTTGAAGATATTCAAATAGCTGTCAAAATACAAGGACCTTGAAATAGAAATCTCAAAAATGTGGCATATAGGAACATCAACAATCCCTGTTGTAGTTGGAGCCCTAGGACTGGTTGGAAAAGATTGCAGTAGGCTAATTGAAGGGATTCCTGGAAGTCCATGCCTCAAGGAGATACAAAAAATTGTTCTGACAAGTACAGCCCACACTTTACGAAGGGCTTTATCTATGTAATTTTTTTTTTTTTTTTTGCCAGTGGAAAGTGTCATGATGCCATTTCTAACCTTAAGTCCCTAGGCGGGACCCGGAAAGAAACGTGTAAACGCTAGAAATCAAAGAAAATAATAATAATAATAATAATAATAATAATAATGTGTTAGGCCAAAATGCAGATTTTGTGATAAAACTGCAGAAACAATTCACTGTCTTGTATAAGGTTGCGCTGGATTAGCACCCACCGGCATGACAGAACGGGCCAATATCTGCACTGGAAAATCTGCACAACTTACGGAAAGGAAACTGCAAGAAATTGGTATGAACATCACCTAGAGCCGGTTAGAGAGATAGAACCTGTAACAATTTTATGGGATTTTACAATACACACAGACGGAACATTCACAGCTAATCTTCCTGATATCGTGATTAGAGACTGCAAAGACAAAATGTGCCACCTTATTGACAACGCATTCCCTGCAGGCAGCAATGTATTTTTGAAGATCTTCAAATAATTATCAAAATACAAGGACGTTGAAATCGAAATCTCAAAAATGGGGCACATTAGAACATTAACAGTTCCAGTTGTAGCTCGAGCACTCGGATTGATTGGAAAAGATTCCAAT